GATTGGTGAGCTAGTTCGAGGGAGCTCACCTTCCTGAAACAAACAAAGGTAGAAGACGAGAGGAAGAAGAAAGAGAGAGAGAGTAATGGCTGATTCATTCATGCCTTTTGCGCAATACATGATTGGCCTTTATAATGCATGGCCGTACAACTCATAATATCTCATAACAAATTCTAAGCGTTTCTGCTCTACTCTATACGTGGGCGACGCGTGTACACATAGGTAAGTGGGGGAGTGACTCTCGTGAGGTTCTGGGTTCTTGGTTGGGCTTGATGGGCCTGAAGAGCCTCGCCTGGAACCTCCTTCTTACTGGGCTTGGGACTCTCCGTCTCATTGGGCCTAACACAAGTGTTGGCAACTTCCCCCCATGTGGGAAAGTTATTTACCCACCTAAGATATGGGGATACCCAAGAAAATAAACTTTCTCTTATCCTCACATAAATCTAAAAAAAGCACTGTTTTCAAAACCGGACCGAACCAGACGATCAGACCAAAAAAACCGGGAACCGGTCACCTGACCGATTCCGTTTTCCTCCAAAACCGCTTTTTCCTTTAAAACCGTTGATTTTGGTCAACAAACCGGTGAACCGGCCAATTAACCATTCGAACCGATAATCAGACCCCTGATCGGTTCGTTTTTAAAAACCATGGAAAAAGAACATGAGTTTTTTGGTTAATGGGAATCAAAATCCCATTGACCAATTCAAAATCCAAAAAAAAAAAGAACACCCCTTAGAGAATAAAAGCCTATTTAAGGAGCTCACCTAAGAGCTTAAGCTTTTAGGTTGAATGATTCATTGAGATGGTATCAAAGAATATTTGACTAAGTGACTTACTGTTCTATCCTCGCCTCCTCCATTATAATTTATCAAACTTCAGCACAAGGTATGGATGGGCCTATATTTGTCCATGTTTTATGCCCAATAAACCATCGCATAAAAGGGCATATTAGAGAATAAAAACCAATTCAAGGACCTCTCACCTAGCAAATTAAACTTTTTAGATTCAACATTACTTGGCCCCCTAATCCATGTTTATTAGCTTTTGATCCCCCAACATAAAATGCTAGTTCTGTCCCTGAATGGCTATGTCATAGGCTGTAGAACCAATGGTAACGTCTCGTGACTGTCACAAAATATATGGAGCCCACATAATACATAGGGCCTATAGAAAGAAGTTGAATGGTAGTGGGCCCTTGTTTTTAAGGATGTGTGGGGCATTATGATTGATTCCATGTTGCTTTTTGTTAATCTAGATATTTTCCTTAGTGGATATAAATTAGTGAGTCCTGCTCACCCCAATTAAATCAAGCATCAGACCTGCCTAAACTCAGAAATTCAGAGTACCTTCCAGTATAGCGTGCAGATATTGAGGAGATTACAGACAATTACAGTGATTGTGATTAGAAAAATCCATTCTGAGTTTCTTGAAAGAAAATGGGAGAAACCTCAATTTGTATGTGATCTCGGGGGAGGATTACAGACAATTACAGTGATTTAAGTTTTTAGGATTCATTTGTTTTGTTTTGTGGGAATAAACGTCTGGAATAGGAATCGGAATGGTCTCCAACCGTTTGGTTGGGCGTGGGCGGAATTGGGATCCCATTCTCTTTCACTGGCTTTTCCCAATTTGAGGGAATAGCCATTCCCTCCCCCTCCCTTAGGGAATGTGAATCTATTCCAACTGATTTCAATTCGGATTCTGATTTCGAATTCCAATCTGAATCAAACAGGTAGAAGGAATAAAGACCATTCGGATTCTAATGCCAATAGATTTTAATTCTAATTCTGATTCCGATTTCAATTACGAACCAAACAGATTCTTAGTATTTTGTCCAATTACTAAGACTTTGGATCATCAATTCAACAACATATTGAGGAGATTACAGACAATTACAGTGATTACAATTAGAAAATTCCATTTTTGAGCTGTGCTACGTCCACTAATGCAGCCCTACCTACTGCCTAGGCTTTAGATCTGCTTGATGTTAAGCAATTCAAATAGAATCTTTTATTTATTTATTTATTTTCTTTTCTTTCAATGAGGGGCTGAGTCATTGAAGAGAATTAAAAATCCCAACTCTTGGTTTGGAATTTTGGAATTTGATGAACCCACAAAGAGACCTGATTGGCAAACTAAGTTCTGAAGTTGTTAAATCCAGGCCATTCAAAAGGAATATTTCCCCATAACTTACTGAATTATGATCTTAAATGGCAAGGGGTTCCTCAAAAGCTGGATGTGATTGCCTACCTATATTTGTGGGGATTTAGGAGAAAAACAGGTTGTTGAAAACAATGATACATGAAAAACAAAGCGAAAGAGAGAAAACAAAGGAGAGTGGGAGAGCCTGTGAAAGAAATAACACAGACAAAAAAGGGAAGACCCAGTGATAGATCCCAAAGATTTGTTAATGGCTTCATTGCTTCTCTTCCTGGAAGTTTCTGTTCAATTATTTGAGCAACACTTCGTCTGTACAACCAGCTCACACTTCCCTTACCAATATACCATGCACTACATACAAATGGTGGGTGGGCTGGGTATTGGTTGGTGGAATTCTGCAAGAAATTGGATTCTGCTCGCTCCTAGAATCATTTAAAGTTTTTCTTTTCTTTTTTTTCCTTTCTTTTCCTTTCTTTTTTTTCGAATTAAAAATTTCTACATGAGGATAATCATTGTTCGCTCTATTTGGTTGGATAGAAAGCCAATGACATTTTTACAAGCTTGCCCTCAGAAAACGGCTGACTTCTTTTTCAAACAGTAAAATGTTTTCCAATGTTGAGAAGGAAGAGGAGGAAGAGGCTCAACTTCCCTCTACCAGCACTAATTGTAAATAATGGAAGTGGTTTTTCTAGTCATTTTCCATCTTTTTTTTTCAACCAAACAACAAGAAATCAATGCCCCAATATTTTTTTTTTCCTTAAAATCATTCAGAGAAAAACCATCCATTTCTTAACTTTGTTTTCCACCCAACCAAACAGATTAACTACGAAATGAATGGACTCGTATCCAAATATCACATACAGTTTTAAATTTATAATTTTCTTTTATTGAACTGTAAAACATTTTTCCATGTTGAGAAGAAGAAGAAGAAGGCTCGGTTTCCACTTGCTCAGCTACCAGCACTCATTGCAAGTAATGGAAGTGGTCTTACTAGCCATTTTCCATATTTTTTCAACCAAACACCAAGAAACCAATATCCTGAGAAATTTTTCTTAAAATTCATTTCCGGAAAAAACATTCATAAACCTTTTTTCCACCCAACCAAACAGATCAATTACGAATTGAACGGACTCAACATTACACGATATACATCCGATCCGATATCAGATACAGCTTTAAATCTATAATTTTCTTGATATTAAAGTTCAAAATATCACAACTATTGGTGCATATCATAAGATACGTGTCAGTTTTTTAACCTTTCCACACACCATTTAAAGGGATTCGGAGGGTCTCTATGTTCAATCATTAATTATTAAAACCCCTTTTATCTTATCTAATCCAAGAAGCATCATCATGAACAATGTTTTCCTTTTCTTTACACTTAGGCCTCTTTCACTTTTTTTGTAAGTTACTTACTCGGATAAATGGACAAGTTTTTCCAGGGAAATACATTTATCCAAGTAAGTGTATTTATTCATGTTCTTTTATTTTTTATGTAAATAAGGCAATGATCATTTTAGCCATAAAAATTCATTATTAAAAAGGGTTTTTTTTGTCCCATTCAAGTGTTGGCAATTTTCCCCTTAGGTGGAAAAGTTATTTACCCACCTAGGAGATGAGTATCACTTATCCGGGTAAGTGGTGCCCAGGAATATAAACTTTCCATAGTTCCCACATAAATCTAAAAAAAGAACATGGGATTTTCGGTCAATGAGAACCAAAATCCCATTGACCAATTTTCCCCTTCTCAAAATCTGAAAAAAGAATGTCCCCTTAAAACCACCTCTATCATCTTAAGTGCCAACTGGCTAGTTAGGTAAGGCCTCTTGCCGATTGTAGTGGAGGCTTGAGATCGAATCCCATCTACATCAGGGTTGGGGGTATGAGTTTGGAGGATGGGCAAACCCTGTTGTGTAGCCCCATAGACCCCACCACCATCATACAAAAAAAAAAAAAAAAAAAAGAAAGAAGAAGAAGAAGGATCTACCACCCTATGATTTTGGGCTTGCAAGACAAAGCAACATCCAATTGAGCCACAAAAGCTTGAACTCTCTACTAAATCTGTCAAATTTTCTTTTATCAATAACAAATAAAATTAAGTATATGAATTGACTTTGATTAATCAGTTGTAGCGCTGATCAAGTTAAGGGTGATCACTCCAATTTTCTACTACATAATTGGACTGAATATGAACCCACCCATTTGATTTAAGTATATATGCTTATAAACACTTAAAATTTATATTGCAGTTATTAGTAAAATTGGTTTGAATGTTGTATTTTTACCAAAGAGCGAGTCATAAGTTTTTCTTTTTTAAATCTTTTCATTAGAGGAATTAGATTAATGAAGATAAGTTGGATGCAAGAATCTTTCAAGTTTCAAACAAGTTCATGATATACAACATCAAAGTTACTTTTAGTTCATTTTATTAATAATAAATAATATTTTGACCATTTTGAGTTTTATTTATTAATGTTATTTACTATCCAAATACATTCCAAATTCAATTTAATTCTGATGGATTAAATTGGATCCAATCCATTTGCAGCTCTAGTCAATTACTTGAAAGAAAGAAAGAAAGAAAGGGTATTGATTCTAATCCTCTCCCAAATTGATGCAAATTATACCTTTATTTCTCTATCTTCTAAAGAATGAATGTTTTTTTAAACTCTCATTCCCCATTTTTATCCCCAATTCCCCCATATTATTTCTGCATTAGATTAATCTTGTTCCTAACAATTCACTGGTGGAGATCAACCACAACCTACCACCCCCAACTGTTTCTATTCTATATTGTTTTTCTCTTCTTTTCTTTTTTTTAACTCTCTCTCTCTCTCTGTGGTTAAATAGAAGCTTTCTTACGGCACATGAAATTGATTGACATTTACATGACATATCGATATGAACTATTACAAGAAATATAAAAGATTAAAAGAGAAAGCAAAAAAAAGAGAGAGAGAGAAAGAGAAAAGAACTCTTCAATGGCTAATGAGCAGCAAGGAGACTTGCTGCAATTAACGTGTTCTCGATCAGAAGGTTGAAAAATGGTTTTGTGCCGACTGAACCATCTGTAACTCCGTCGTGGTCTGGCATGAATTCTCATCACTGATCAAATTCCTAACATTGTAAAAATATGTGAAATCTAATTAAAAACCAAAACCAAAGAAATTAAAGACCAAAGTTATATTTTTTTATTATTTTCTTTCAACATTAAAAATAATGGGTTTTTTATAATGAAACAATATTTAATCGTTGATGACAAGTTGTTAAAACCAAAAAAAAAATAATTAAATAGCATAAATAGAGGTAGATCATACTCTCTAGGGCGAGAAACCCACAAGGAACTGAGGGCTCGTAATCTATTGTAATATTCCCCAATTGCCAAGAAACACCTTGCAGCTTGTCGAATGGTCAGAATCCGACGCATCTGATGAAGCGTTTGCTGCCTCAAATTATCAGCCTGCAATTTGAAAAAATGAAAGTAAAAAAAAAAAAACAATAAACCCTTAGAAAATAAGAGAAGTAAACAAATCTAGACTGACAGAGACATGTTAATTAATTTATTGCTCAATCAGACAACTGAACCATCATCCATACACAACCCAATTTGCAATTGGGTCCTTTTGTGCAAAAACCCCTAAACAAAATTTCAAAAGAGTTGAAATCCATGAATCTGTCTTTATTGTGTGAGATTTGGACTCTTCTAATCATGCATAAAAAAATATGGAATTTCCATTTTTTATTCATTTTTTATTGGTTTATTGATTAAATATTCTTGTTCAACTTTGTTCTCAAAAGATTTTTTTAATTTTGTTGATGGGTGTGGTTAGGGTTTCCACATCAGGAGGTGCTTAGGGTATATAGTATGGTCCCTTTCTTACCACCTCCTGATTGAGACTTCTTAAAACTTTTTTCTATTAATTAAAAAAAAATGGGCTATGTTATAGTGAGGATGCTCTGCTCTCCCAATCTTCCACGAGCAGATCAGGACCCACCATCAAATCAAATGAGCTCCACACTTTATCAGACGGTGGATAGACTGCCATGAGAATTTTTTATTGATGGTGGGTCCAGATCTCCTAGTTGTAGGAGACATGGCCATTAAATTGATGCCACCTCATTGATATTATGATGAAGCCTCGAAAAAAATTAAAGAAAAAAAAAGGGCAGGCCCTTGGGAGGGGCCCTCATGTAATAAGTACGGAAAATGTGTCCGAATTAAAATGACTTTGCATAGAAAATGACACCCAATTGTATACGATATACTGCCCTTGTCTACTTTTAAGGAAAAATTAAGAGAAATATTAGTCTTTTGACTTTCTCTCAGGTGTAATTAAATATCCCGCCCCACAAGCAAAATTGCTCTTCTGACCATTCACACATCTACCAATGGTTGATGATCACATGATGTCGAGGCAAACATGCAACAATCTGGTGCCTCAGGGGGGTGACGTGGCATATCCCCACCGTCCATCAAAGCAAGAGCAAAAAAAAGGGAAAAAAATAACAAGTCAGGGGTGTTTAGGTCATTTAACGTGATAGACTAAGCTCTATGCATTATTAGAGAGAGTGTCTCCAACCTTGGTTCTCAAGGGACACATCATAATTAAAAAGTCTGAATTTCTCAGAAGTCTCCAAAGGGGTTGACCGTATACATATGTCTACCCTACACGCGAACTTCCCTGAAAACGCCAACTTTTGCCAGATGGCAAGAGATCAAAGGTGATCAAACCCCTTAATGGGATTCCACGTCTAAGATCACTGGACTATGTAAAGGACCTAGCTGGCTGGCCAACCCCATCTGTGTATTATGGGCTCTACCAAGGCTTTACTTGATTGGGTCACGAGTGTGGCCTCTGAGCCTACAAAGAGACAAAGTCCATTATTGCCTTTGCTCTCTTAGGGTGGTTATTTCATTAAGAGGAATTAAAAATATGAAAAACAAGATAATAGAAGAATTAATGTTAAATCAATTTCCATCACAAGAGAGAAAGAATGAATCATGCCCCTTTCTAACATAATAGAAACCCTCACTTCGATTGTAAGCCAGAATTGTGGCAGGAATTTGGCTCCATGATCTATCAAGGTCCATTTCAGTCCCTTTTCTAAGGCTAAAAGAAAATTGGTGTAAGCAAATTATGTACACCAGGGGCTCCATGTCACCATGGAAACTTGAGAGACCAAGATTAGGGTGTAATTGGCTAACCACTGTTTGTGATTTTGATAGATAGAGGACAATGGTGGGACAAGATTCGTATAGCTGACCCCAAATAGTTGGGATTAGGGCTTGAATTGAGTTTGATTCGAATTTAGGTTACCTGTCGAACGAACCCTTCGAGGTTTGAGAGCTTGCCCAATGCGATGGCCATCTGATCCATGTAGTTCTGGACCAGGGTCCCGTCGCTGAGAGCCCCGGTTGCGACGGTGTCGGAGAGAGACTGGTGGAGCTGCTCCAGACCCTGAGAGAGGGCCTCCTCTGCCTGCTGTGAGGATTGCTGCAGACCACATATGCCCATGAACTGCTGCTCCGTCAATGTGTCCAGCTGAGGCGTCAATATCTGCTCATGAATTCAAACAAACACAGCCCAACAAAAATGGCGGGAAAGTCAATCAACAGTTTGGAGTTTGGAGAAGAAATGAACGTAGAGACTAAAGAACCATGCATTGCAGGATCATTGATCTCCGGGGGTGAGGTTACTTTGGGCTTTTTGTAAAGTTCAAGGGAGAGTTGGGTCATTTGCTTTTTTAAGTTTTTAACTGTTACGTGAAATGATGGCATAACTGTAAAATAGGACATTGGAGGACTCAAAGGTTCAGTCATACTGTGAAAGGTGAATGACCATGACCTCTCCCTCAAACTCAGGTCAGATTCAGACTTTGAAACCACCAAAGTCGGCCCTTGAATTTTCAATGAAATTACGAACGTACCCACCTGGTTGAACTTTTCAAAAAGACTTAAATACCCCCAACCAATCCTTTACAGAAAACTGAACAGTGAACACGTAAGGAAGAATGTTGTATAAAAGAAATTAAAGAATTTTCTGTTTTGGACCTTAATGAGTTCCGATGGCCGGAAGCCACCCATCCAGAGGAAGCAGCGCTCCGCCGGAGTTGCCCACATTCCGGTAACGAGGTGGAAGACGTCAGATTTGGCAGCAACAGCCTTCAGCCGGAAAATCTCGTCGTAGTGAACTAGATATCCGTCTAATATTACCCGGAGGTCGCCGTCCGACAAATGAGCGTTCAGCCCTGTCCGGAGCTCCGACAAGTGCCTCTGATCATCCTCTAACCACCTTGAATACTCCATGTCGAATATCGCAGCTCCTGCATAATCGACAGCAACAGTTATAATAATTTTGCTCGCATGGACCCCAGTCCAGAAGTAACAGCAGATCACCATCAAAATGGACTAGGAACCAGAAAGATCTTTCGTCACTTTTTCCTGAATTTTTGTTTCTAATATGTTGGAAAGAACTGTGATTTCAAAAACTGCTGAAACAAAACCTCACCGGAACTGATATTTCCACCCGCTGCACCACCGGCTCCTAAGAAGAGACCCTACAGATCACCAATTCAACAGCAAAAAAATGATGAATTAAGGTATAAATTTATAACTGGAAAGATAGTTGTGTTCGTTATTTGTGAATAAATTTATATAGATGATAATAAATTAAATATTTGGAACCTGAGATCTTGCTCTTTGAAGCTCCTGCTCTAACTGAGTAAGCTTTATCCTACTAGACTCTAGCTGCTGTACATAAGCCTGCAAACGGAAAATATTTACATAAAAAAGAAATGGGTTTCTGGGGTTCTAGAGTATTCTCGTTTGAAGTAAATCAGAATTTATGTTTTCCAGTGACAAAAGGGTCGTCGGAATCTGACCCACCTTTTTTCTCAGTCGGCTCTTTCTTGCTGCTTCTCTATTCTGAGCCAACCGCCTTAGTGTCTGAAACAAGTAATTGAAAAATTCAAACAAAAGTTTGACAATATCAGCTTGACAGTCTGAAGCTAAAGGGAAGCAGTTGGACAAACAACGTAAAATATCGAGAGAGAGAGAGAGAGAGAGAGAGAGGAGAAGAAGTAAAAAAAAAAAGTAATTCTACATCGCTTCATGACCTTTGCATCGAGTGTTTTCTCTGAAGTTGAACTGGCTCCTCTTCTCTGCAACATTTTAGAAACAAAAAGAAATGTTTTAATTAACAATAAGTCAAAACGCAAATAGAGCCTTTCTGGGCAATTTTTCGGCTGGCTTTTCCTTTCAGGAGGTAATGAGCTTTTAGGCTGAGGACCACATAAGGATACTAAACACTACCCATTAAGAAATGCACAGTAATAAAGTATATTGCAGTTTACTTGTTTTAAAGGTGGAAAACCTAAAGATTTGTTTAGCAAATGGGTTTTAAAATTGAAGAATCTAAAGAAGAAAAAACTCAGAGAAGAACACTACATATTCTCTTTTTTTTTTCCTTTTTTTTTTATATTTTGTTGGGTTGGGGGTGTTGGACTGAAGCTGCAAATGGCTATGAGAGAAAATCTGAGAAGTCAGGAAGAGAGAACCTAGAGCTGAAGCGTAACAAACAGTGCAATACAATAAAATAGTTGGGACTTGGGATTTAACTTTTTTAAGATGCTAACTTTTCTTGGGTTTGAAGATTTCTGTTTGTTATTCTTCAATATGCTAATGACTTTTGACAACAAAGAGCGATTAGAAAGCTCGCACAGTTTCTTTTCCTTCCCTTAATTGTTTGGGGTATTAAAGTGATCATGATATGGGGTATCTGCCTTTTCTGGAACTGTGTGATTTAGGATTTCAAGATCAAAGAGTTAATGATTCTGACAATAAAAAACTATAAATAAGGGCTTTTACTTCGAGCTAGGGGGCCAAGGTAAAGGCATTACTATGATAAGTCAAGAATAAATTATGGAACAGTGATGCCTTTGGAACTTCTCTTGAGATGGGCTGAACTTATCTTCTTAATGTGTCAGATTTCTATCAGAAAATCATTTGGAAAGCTGGACTGCTGGACATCTCTGTGGCTTTGGTTGATTCTCTAAGGGTTGTTGGGATTTGTGTCCTTTTTGTATACAGGTAGAATTCAAGCCAGTCACAGTGGTCTTAGCTAAATATATGTCAACTTTTCCTGAGTTTTTGGGATTTGGAGAGAGAAGAAGAGATCATTAGAGTGGTAGCTGGTAGCAGTTAAGGACCTTTTCCGGTTGTTTGGCTTGTTGATTTGGTGAAAGTCCTGCTCTTGATGTATCGTTTGCCATTTCTACTTTGTGTTGTTGCTGAATCGGTTTCTGATCGATAGACTGATCCAATCCCTTTTTACTGATAGGAGATGCTGGTTCCAACTGAGAATCGGCTTTACAGGATAGAGTATTCTGAGCAGACCCTGAGTCAGTACTCTCTCCTGACTTTGAGCTTCCCTGAATTGAAAGAAAAAAACAAAACAACAAAAAATCAATCAGTTCAGAACCATCAAAGTCACCTGCAAAATCTTATTTCCCCACTTATTTATCACAGACCCAGATCAGAAATTCAATTCAAGCAGTAGAAGGATCTTCTTAATCACAATGAGAAAAGAAAAAAGGAGAGAGATATGCTGCAGTTTCCATTGTTATTGCTATCGAGATTCATTAAGCCACATAGGAAGAGAAAAGAGTCAAAGGGGAAGAATACTCTTGGAGTTTGCTGGAATCTCATTGGCCATGACGGGAACATTTCCAGAGTAGCAGCTGGCCTGGTTGCAGTTAAAAAAGCTGCAAGAATCACAAAAGCAGAATCCTTGAGGATCATCAAATAAAAACTCCCATATCTTCCAGCTATATCAAACAGGGGAATTGATTCCCCCTTCTGCAGTTAAGAGTCAGTAAATCATGCTGAGAGGTCAGGTTTCCATGTTTGATGCCTCATGCCATTCAAGTTTCCTGCCTGAGAATGATTACTGCGTTGGAAAAGGCAAGCCACCTTGAGGTTTGTTTGGACAAATTCAAACATCTCTCTCTCTCTCTCTCTCTCTCTTTGCAGTTGGTTATGCTTAGCAAACGTCACAAAAGGGAAAAGGATAGAGAAACATACTCCTTTTGGCTTCATCGTTTCTATTCTTAATTTCTTGGAGCACAATTGCCTGTTCCAACTCTCCGAAATCAAAAGCAGAGCCCTGTTGATTACTGAACATGAAACCCATATAAGAGAAAAGCATATTAACAAGGTAAGTATAAGTGAAAAGAAGAGAGAATGAATGAATAGAAGAGAAGAAAACCAAAACCCATTGAAGGACAAGGAGTTCAAAGTTTTAATTTTTGAATCGTGTAGACAAGGAGAAGACAGAGAAGAACAAGGAAAGGGTTGAAGAGCAGTACATGTAATTGGTGGTGGGGTGGCTGATGCCATGAAAGACTGGATAATTTGAAGGTCCTGAATCTGATAGACCAGTCTCTCCAACTCTTTGACTCGCCATGCAAAATCTTGTGCTCAGACCATCTTACAGAAAGAAGCAATCGAAAACCAATTTAGATGCAGAGAAGAAAGCAAAATCAAATACTCACTGGTATTCAACTCTCTGGACTAAGAAAATCTTCAGCAAATCAGCTTCAAGCAAATAAAACATGAAAAGAGAGGAGTTTTGACCGTTGAGGGAGAAAATAGAGATAGAACCAATACTTCACTGATTCCTACCATTTATGTACCTCAGTTTTATTGGAAAGCTCCGAGCAAGTCTTCTTCACCCAACTGAAAGAGGGACACAGAGAAACAGAAAGATTGCAGCTTTCTTTTTAACGAGGGGTCCAGTTTTTATTTCTCTCTGTAACACTCTTGAAACTATTGATCCTTCATGGGTCTCTGTCTTCTTCTCTCTCCTCTCTACGAAGAAACCTTATTATTTCAGCTGGGTTGCTTTATCACCCTCTGCAGTAAATATCAAACTCATCCATGGCAAGACAGAAGATCTTGTCCTTACAGACTTGTCTGAAAGATGTGGGCGTTTGAAGAAAGAAAAGATGTAAAAAAACGAACAAAAATAAATAAATAAACAAAGAAGTAAGAGGTGGGGTCTTGGGCAGGAACCCACTAGAATCACTGACTCCTACTCCACTCCCCCTAACCGACTGTGCTTTTTCATTGGCTGTTGTGTGGGCTCCTCACAGATTTAAGAAGAAAAATAAATAATTTCAACATTGAATAGGAGATGAGACAAGTTTTTCTTTCATCAAAAAGAAAAGAAGGAAAAAAGAAGATGGCAGAGGCAGGAAAACTTTGGAGGAGTTGTCTTGTTCTTTTTCTACTTGATAAGGGATGGGTTTWAMTTTGACAAATCAGGGCCATTCTGAGAAAAGAAAATTTTATTTAAAAAATTGGATCATACCCTCTCAACCAAAACATTAGTATAATCATGCACAAGCAAACCCACTTGTATTTTTAATCCTGGGCTTGAGATGGATTTGTTTGGTATTATCCCTTTGTTGATGGGTCAACATCCATTACTTGTCAATACCTAAAACCCATGTCACAGCATGATTCCTTTCCTTAACTAGAAATATGTTTTAAAGGGGGCCCCTGAGCACAGGACCAAGGCAACATGGATTCTCCCAGCTTGTTTCTCATTGGGATCCTATTCCCACAATAGGGATGGGCTATGTGTTTGTTGGTATCCAACGCTATGTTTTTCTTTTCTTTTTTTTTAATTTTTAAACAGAAAACCTTACAAATTGCCTGGACCGAGAGACAGAGAGATCCATTATAATTTTATTAGGTTGTTAGTGTCCTCTCCAATATTAGGTACTGGTTGGTGATATCCAAAATGTTCATTTGTAGGGAGCCCTCTCTCTCTCATATCTATATCTATATATACTACTTTAAAAAGTACGAATAGCCTCAAGAATATTTTTGGAATTTTATGTGGACAAAACTTACCCCTTTATATTTAAATTTATTGATAAAAAATGAGGGAAAATAGGATAATTGGTTATTGATATTAAATGAGTTGAAAAGAGATAATTTTAAGATATTCAATGCATTCAATTCTCTCTCATTAAATCCAATATTTAAGGTATTAATTTGCATTCATCTTCATTGAATCATATATTTAAGGCTTTGTTTTTTCTCATCATTAAATTCTATAATTAAATTCATATATAATAAATTAATAATTTCAATAACATAAAAACTTATACTTTTAATATCTACCTGGAAAAAATAGTGTTTTCATCTAGGTGGTGGTAAGAAATTAAACCATTTGGATCAAATGGGTCAATCCATGTTGCATAATTAAATAATAAAATTCAAAAATATATAAAATGCAAAAAATATAGAAGTTAAAAAATGAAACATTTTTAACATCATATATTTGGCATATTAAACAATAACTAGGTGGTGGTAAGAAATTAAACCATTTGGGTCAAATGGGTCAGTCCATGTTGCTATAATTAAATAATAAAATTCAAAAATATATAAAATGCAAAAAAATATAGAAGTTAAAAAAGGGAACATTTTTAACATCATATATTTGACATATTAAACAATAATTAGTATGATAAACAATGTTTTAAAAACTGACCCAGAGGCCGACCTGCTTTTTTACCTTCGGGTCACAGGTCACCGGTTCGACTATCAAGGTCAAATGAGTCAAATCGCTCTACGTCAACACTATAAATGTTTGTATGTAAGAATACATATTTTATCAATAAATAGTATAATTATGTTTTACATATATTACATATAATATATGTATTATGTTACATTTATTTATGTTTCTTTAATTCAGATTTTAATTTTTTAATTTATAAAAAATATAATTTGGGGCCAAAAAAGGGTTTTTCTACGAAAATAGCAAGGCAAGGCACCTAAGGCCCTTGGGAAGTATAAATCTTGAAAAGTTACTCAAAAAAAAAAGATAACCCCAATCAAACATCAGAGTGCAAGGTTATGGCTTCCAAAAGTTTGCACATAATTAAGTGTGCAACTTGTAACCCGGTTATTGGGTTGAATGAGGCAATGGTTGAACCACTCGGGTTAGACGGTTTTTAACTGAAGGGAGAGTTTCGATAAAACCATACCTAGGATCAAGGTCGAGTGATGTTTCAAACGGTTCAATTGGCTAGGTCAACAATAGGTTGAAAACATTGATGATAAATAAGAAATATTTTTTATTAATGATGGAAATGGAATGTAAAATTTAAAACCATTTGGAAGTAAAACTATTTTCCTAATTATCTCTCATTAAATCTCATATCTAAGATATATTCTCTTATTAAATCTTATATTTAAGATATACTTTTCTCATTATTAAATTCTATTAATTAGATCCACAATATTAATTTTAATATTATAAAAATAAATATTTTGAAAACAAAACCATTTTCTTCCCTCTCAATGGTGGGTAAGCAATTCAACCATTTGGGGTCAAATGCATTAATAAATAATGCCATAATTAAATAATAAAAAATAAAATATATAATACAAAAAATAAAAAGAATTGGGCATGCCACTAATATTGTATATTCATTATACCAAACAAAAATAAGTATGAAATGTAAGAAGTATTTTTATAAATGATGAAAATGGAATGTCAAAATTAAAATCAACCTAGAAATGAAATGATGTCATAGTCAAATAATAAAATTTTTAAAAATAGAAAATACAAAGAATCACAAAAATAAATGTTATACATAAGATATAATGTTATATATTTATTAAAATAAAATAACGAGTACATCTATAATATTATACATTCATTATATTGAACAAAAAATAAATATTATACATAAGATATAATTTTATCAATAATGGAAATGTAATACAAAATTTAATGTCAACCTAGAAATCAAACTTTTTTTTGGGTCATGGGTTAGCGATTTAGGTCAAATGGATTAATCGATGATATAATAGTTAAATAATAAATATTTAAAAAGTAATAAAAAAGTACAAGTAATCAAAAGAATATATAAAAAATTATATATTAATTATGTCAAACAAAAATTAAGTGTAATAAGTAAAAAATATTTATATAATGTAGATGGAATATATAATTTAAAACTGATCCAAAAGCAAAGCTATTTTCTTATCTAAATGATGGGTCAATGATCCAACTTTTCAAAAAAAAAAATCATGATGTCATAATTGAATAATAAATATTTAAAAAAAGATCAAACACAAAAAATAAAAAAAAGTAAAGAGTTTTGTCAAAGACATTTTGAAGCATTTCTAATGTTATATAATCATCATATTAAATAAAAATAATTGTTAAAATAAAAATTATTTTTAGTTAAAACAGAAATGGAACACAAAATTTAGTAGTGTAGTAGTATATATTAAAAAGCCGAATTAATCATCTACCTTTTGTAGGTAACATGCCCTCCACCAATTATTCCCTTCTAAGTCAATGATTGGCTCAGAACAAATAGGAGGAAGAGGTTGAGCTCAAATAGAGAACTGTTCATGGATTAGGTAAGCCCATATTTGAGCTGACCACATACCTGCCGGATGCATTTTACATGTTCTTCATATTGGAAGATTTTCTTAAGATTAAAGACTGCACAAATCTTGCACTCTTTTTAAACCCAAGTAGTTTAGCTCTGGCTTTCACATGTATACAAATGTGCTCATTGATTTGCCAGAACCATATGTAGTACTTTTTATTTCTTGGGATTGTTAAGTTAGATTCACTTCATTTCTTTTCCTTGAGAATAAAACATGGTAACAGAGTCATACTTTCTTATGGTTGTATCATATTGGATTAAACTATAGTAACGTGTTCACCATTCTAATTTTGATTCAAATGCCCCAAATTCGTCACTTCCCTGAAAACGTAGGCATTTTCTCTACAGGAGGAACCCTTATATTGCGCAAATTCGCGAAGATAAGATGTCACATGTCATTAATGGAGGGGTTCTTAGCTCCTTGGCCTTTCCCCATCAACAAAGATCATACCCCAATTAAATAAAAGAACTATAGGAAGGGACCCAGTTCAAATAAGTGATTGTCTGATTAACTCAAAACCATAATGCCAAGTGGGTAACTTTTAGGCATCGCCATAAGCCTTTAAAAATAAACGTAAGCAATACTGCTTTGTACACATTGACCACCACAATAAAGAGTCTATGTCATGGCCTCATGGGTTCATGCACGCTAGTTGTTTGTGTTAAATACTGGTCCCTTTAATCACTTCACCACCCCAGAATATTTTAAGGTGCGCTTTGAATACCTGTATCCCAAATATGTATGTCTTTTTAGAAAGTCAAAGAATTGTATGTATGGTGCAGAGTTCTGAAATTTGATTCTTATATACGAGTTTGGTGATAGATTAGTTTATTAAGATTCTTAGCAAGAACCTATACAAACCATCCATGTCAGAAAGTTTTATTTATGTAGCTTCTCTGTAATTCTACCATGGCTCCTCTCCCGTTTCTTTGAGAAGAACCCCATAACAATTCCCAACATTACCAGAGGACTGACTGCTTTGTACACAGAGAATAAGACGACAAATGGGAAGATGTTGAAACTTGAAAGGCTCCAGAGATCCTGCATTTCTCTAGTACAGAGTCAGGACCTACCATTTGATTGAGCCATCCAGCGCAAGAATCTCAAAGATAAGACCCAACCTCATGGCACCCAACCCAATGATGTCGGAAACCATACCACTGGACTAAGTCACTTTCTTTTGACTCGCCATGAAATGATTCAATTGCATAAATTTCAGACTGAGAGATCTTCTAGGTGGGGCACGCCAAATGATGGAGCTTCATTCCCTGGCACAAGTCCTGTGTAGTCACAGGTGGATAATGACTTGCTACTATTTGATGCCAATGTATACTCCATGGCGTTGCTAACGGATGGATTCCCTGTTTGGGCACATGGATATAGAGTGCTATTGTGTACCCAGTAATAACAAGACTGTGCTGAAATCAAAAGCAATAAAGTAATCATTAGGTAAATGAATCAGTGAATTAACCACATAAAAGCCAGACTCAATAGTCAATACCTGTGTTACTATCTGTTGATACAGCCCCCCACCCACTATTTTAAGGTGCATGACAGATTAAATTTACTGACCGAATATTTTTGCTCATGTACAAGTAGAGATCACTCAATGAAGAATTCATTCCCCAATTACAGCACTTTTCAGGCTTGAAACTTCCACGCAACTGACATGCCTGGTGGTTATTATTATTATTTTTTAAGTAATTATTTGATTAGGATCAATCACGTTTTACCTAGAAGTATTAGCCTTTATTCCCTTAATTCACGAAAATATCATTACTAGGCTAATAGAACAAGTTGACTTGTTAAGTATTCCAAGCACTTTAAGAATATCAACATATATTATATTAAGTAATAAGCAGATATGTTGGACACTAATCAACATATAAAGATGACACTTGCAAACAGGAAAAAAAAGTTCCATAAATTCTAGGCACCTTCTAGTATTCTTTTTCTTGGTAGAAAAACATTAACAAAAGGGTTATGGACACCTGAAAACTGAAAGTTGCTCCACTTTTTTGCTGTTAAATGGTCTAACCAAACACTGGTTAACCATAAAAAATAAATAAATAACTCATACCAAGTTTGAATATTCTCAAAACCTATATTTATATCTCCTAGATAACCAGAGATGACTTCGACAAATATGTAGTAATTCTTTCTTCTATGAAACTATGGCCTAATAAGAATTCAAAGCATCCTGCATAACTAACAATTTATGGATAAGAATCATAAGATACTTTACTCTCATGTAACTCCATTAAGACACTTATAGGGTTTTTTGAGGTAACATGGTACATTGTTTAGCACCCATAGAAGAATAGTAACTTAAATTACAAGTGAAATGTGATACAGAAAAAAAGCAGTATTCTGGATTAATGAAAAACAAAGTCATAGTTAAGAAGCCAAAAATGCCAGAAATATTTCTGACCAATCAGTTCAAGTTTAGAGCAACCTCAACTCAAAAATACATGGTCTCAAATTCATCTTTTTATATCTATCACAATTACCATCAACGATTAATGACATCCAAGAGGAACTTTTCCACCAGCCTATATTATCAAAAAACAGAGAACTGCTATCATATCATAAAACTTGTCTGAACCCTTTGAATACTTTAAAACACAGCAGGTACTGGGGGAAAAATGAGGTCAAGAATGCTCAGAAGCAATGCTGATATTAGTCAAAACATGCTAGTTCCACTGTTTTTTTTTTTTTTTTGAAAAGTATACTTCTATTAAAAGAGTGTGATGGATCCTCAAAACAGCTTTACAAAAGGGTAAATTACTTAAATATCCCGTGTTTTCTGACAGATGCTTTAACCTCCCTAGAAAACACCCTTGACATTTCAGCATAACTATACAAATACACCCCTTCCATTAGTATACTGTGGACGGAGACTATGAAGTTACTATTATGCCCTCATAACCTTTTTCAAACAAAAAGTAAAAAAAATAAAAATAAAAGTCTTAGTAGAGGGTTAGCACTAGCAGATCTTAAGTATTCTTTTGAGGTTCAAATTTGCAAAAAGGACATTAGCAATAAGGCATTGAAGCTTACTCTCTTTCTGACAATTGGTTGGAGATTTGAAGCTTTGAAGGAGTTGTCAAAGCTCCATAGTTGATAAACTTGCAATTTTTGAGAGGTTTCAAATCATGGAACTGAAGCTCTAATCCTTTTTCTAATAAAGCTTTTGAGGCAGTTTTCCATATAGGGAAGGCACAAGTATGAAATTTTGGAATTCTTGGTTTTCGTTGAATTACTTTGTTTTTGTTCTTTTTCCTGAGAGAAGGTAAAATTGGGAGTTAAGGCAGTGCCAGATTTAAAACAAGGCCAGTGTAGACATAGACTTATGATTCTTAACTCTATGTTGTCCCCATGTGACACATGATTAGGCTGTGATGCTCAGGGAGGAAGGGTGGACAATGAACCTTGAGATGAATTCAAACCATACAAGTTTGTATAAAAGGACCAATAAGATGAATCATGGGACGAGAAGGCAAAGCTATAGATTCCTTATGAGCTTTCTTGGGACAGAGATTCCCTAAAGCTGTCATTGACACCGTCATTGAAGCTTGAGACAGAGAAGTTTCAGCTAATGCAACAATAACTATGGCTGTAATCAGGTTGGATTTGGATTGGAGTCAGCAAAATCTGAATCTAATCTGACTAATGAAAAATGAAATCAGAATCCAATCCAAAATGTAACCAGATTTGGGGACCTTGTATTGGATTTGGATTTAATTCAACTCCGCTTTATTTTAAAAAAAAATTAATTACTTTTTAACTTAGATGGGCATATAGATATGCATATACATATATAAAAGATGTTTTTTTTATCAGAAAATAAATTCCATTTATTAATCTGAAATAAGATTACGGGGCAATTCATTTTTTGGATTTTGAGAAGGGGGAAAGTTAGACACGTTCTTTTTTCAGATTTGTGTGGGGACCAGAGAAATTTTATTTTCCTGGGTATCATACCCATCTCCTAGGTGGGTAAATAACTTTCCTACCTAGGGGAAAGTTGCCAACACTTGGATGGGACAAAAATGCCCCTTTTAATAAGGATTTTTATGGCTAAAATGGTCATTGTCTTATTTACCTGGGAAATAAAAGAACATGGGTAAATACACTCACCGAAAAACAAATGGGGCCTACAAGTGTTTTAGCTATTGAGCTGCCCAATTTACAAAGGAATCAATAACTTTCAAGTACATAGGTCACCCAGTTTCTTTTTACTGCAGCAATTACAGCTTTGCCCAAAATAAGGTTGGTCTATCCGCCCCCTGTTTTGCTAAATCATCTGCCAATCCATTTGCTGTCCTTCTTACCCATCCAAAATTTGCATTAACCTTTCTTGCAAGACAATCTATCTCCCTGAGAGCACATCTGTACTTCCAGGGTTCTGACTGGATTTTATTTGCCCAAGAAATCACCAAGAGTGAATTTCCTTCAAATTCCAATTCTCTAACTCCTAGTTGTGATGCTAGTTTCAGGCCTTGCAGAATAGCCATAATTTCAGCCTGAATTGAATCTCCAAAGCCTACTGGTGGTCCTGAGAATAGAGCCATTACTACTCCTTGAAAGTTTCTGATAACTCCCCCTATGCCAGCCCTCCCCGGATTGCCAAAGGAGCTGCCATCAAAGTTTAACTTCATCTTATTCACCTCTGGCAGTTTCCAATCCATTCTAACCACCTCTTTATGTATGTCTGCTTGTACCACTTCAGTCCATTTCCATAATATGTCATAATATATATATAGACATATTTATAGAATTTATATATATGAAATATTGAATTTATTATATATAGAAATTTATATATAGCTTATAGCATATAGCATAAGTTTTATATGTTAAATTTTTATATTTATTTAAATTTTACATATTATAAAAATAACCAGATTGGATGTCATATCGGGCTTTGGACTTTCGAAAGCCTTTGATAACCCTAATTCCAATGAGATTTTTCTAGGGAAAGAAAGAAAAGAAGAGATTTTTCTAGGGCAAACTTTCTAAACAGAGTTATTGGAAGATATTATAGAAACCATTGAACCAGCCCATGGGTAAAATGGGGAATTTGAAAATTTTAAAAGCAAGGGGGGGCCATTTTCTGTTAGGTTCTTAAAGGCATACTAACAGGAAGGGTGTGCTTGTATAATTAATCCAAAATGTGAAGGGAGTTTTATGGGAGGTCATAGTACAGGGGAGGTTAAAGCATTTGTCAAAAAAAATGCTGGTAAAAGAAAAAATTTTATTGAAAAAACAAAGCAACATACAGCCACCAATAGGGTAAAAAGGGTGCACCAACAAAACAAAAATACAAAACACCAGCACCAAAAGACGGACACCTACATACCCAACTCTCATTCCCCTTTCGACGATAGAAAAAAACTCCTCACACGGTCCCGCCCACCCTCCTCGTTCCAAATTTTCCCTCCTTCAGTAATGGATTTCTTCAACTTTTCTTCCCTTTTGTTCCTCTCAAACTTTTCAAAAGCTCTTCCAACAAAAGCCTCTCCTCCTAAGAAAAATAAGCCTAGTGATCTTTTTTTTTTTTTGAGAAAAGTTAAAGTTAAAATTGTATTAAATAAGCCTAGTGATCTGCCCACCTTAACATCCCTAATTTCTCGATCTTCGCACTCACTTGCTTCGTCCCCTGTTCCTTTGAAGGCTCCTCACAAGTTCTTTCTTCAACTTTACTACCACCCTCCCTAATCTTCTCCTTTGAAACTCCACTTGACACCACCTCCCCTACAAGTGCACCCATCGCCTGCTTATTCTTGCCACTGCAATCTAGCTGCCCAACCTCCTCTTCATTCCGAGCCCCATGTTCATAAACTTTTTTTGTTTTGCTCCCCTTCTTTTATACACTCTTTTGTACTTGTTAGTAGGGCCTACACCAACTAGACTGTCTTTTAGCTGCGAGAAAACCTTAGTGGCATGCACAATGTGAGATTTATTCGCAATCCTATGAGTCTTTGAAGTCGTTGGATTAGAGATGTAGTCAGACTTCTTAGGGTCCTTCCTTCGCCGACCCAATTCGACTCCAAGTTTTCCCACACAGATTTTGGTAACCATCTGCTTACTCCCAACTACAAGAGAACAAGTCTTCTCAACCATTGCACCACTCTGATCAAAAGATTGAGTACAGCGCCCAGATTCAATCTCCTCTTCCTTTTCTTCAGCAGTTCTTCCTTCTTTATCCTTCTCAACAGCTCCTTTTTATGAATAACAGAAACTGATTTATTAAATTAGTAAAGAGAGTTACAGAGGGGAAAAGGGAGAGAGAAACTCACTTGGCTCTCCCAAGTACAAACAAAATAGCTACAATACAGCCCAAAATAGATGATCCCTTCCCACCCCCTGCTTTGCTAATGCATCAGCAAAGGAATTAGCATTCCTTTTTACCCAT